ACTGTTGAATATAGTGTAATATACCGTGAAAATCCACAGTGGAGAATCCGAGTCCAAAAAGTGTCGGGACCCCGACGAGATCTTTGCGCCGCACAACGTAACTCGTCGCGCTGATTCCGAATATGTAAAAATCTCGAGGATAGCTTCTCTAGAATAAAACCATCATATTTTGATATGATAACCATGAAAGAGAGGTCTTCCTCCAAATTTTTTGCTTAATAAGTGTAATCCTCTTGAAGGCATACTTGAAACGGTTCTTGATATGAACGGTTCTTGTACGATTTCTCTTAATTCAATAAAATAATCACAATTATATGCACCGATATCATCAAACATTTCGTCATGGTTAGTTTCTACCAAAAGGACTTCCCACCGAGAACAAAAGGTCGTAACAACTTCGCGTTCATGTGGTAAACGGCTCCATTGTTCTATTGAGACACCATTAATCAAATTGAGTTTAAAAAGTGTTCGTGTTGCGATATCTGATGCTGGAAGAACTTCTATAAATGGAAGAGTAGCATTCTTATCTAATGAACCACTACAAATCCCGGAAAAACAAACTATTTGTCCAACAATAAATTTGCTCAAATTTGGGGCTACATTCATCCCACGCCATGCAACATCTTTGATTTTTGGTAGACAACGAAGACCCGAATCGAGAAGATTAAAATGGCCGATCGAAGACAAATTAATTGGGGATTTCGTTCTCTTAAAAATCTGTTGACTAAACAATAAAACGAGTTACGCGAGTTCGATGGCTCTTGACAATACAGAGCAATGAATACAGCTGTTGTTGTTGTTTCGTCATTGGATCGGGACCGACATCAATGACTTTGTTGATAGCTTGTTCAATTTCTTTCGTTTTATCGCTCATTTCAATATCTGCCAAATATTGTTCATATGTAAATTGTGGTACAAATTCAAATTTATCGAAAATTTGATTTTGATGAAGTGGTTGTAAAAAGCAATTATTTGTTTGTATTCGCATTTGATTCAAATTTTGTTTGAGTTTTATAAGACGTTCCAGTGGTACTGGCGGAATAGATAATTGCTTCAATGTTTCAGGGGGCGTTGCTAGAAGCTCTTCGATTGTTGACACACCGGCGTCAATCAACATTGGAAACGATTTTCGCCAGCTAGATGTTTTCCATGCTTCCATAAACATCACTAGGCATGCACCAATACCAATCATTATTGAAGATATTGTACAATACTATTGGGTATCCAATAATATTCGCATCCAATAATATTGGTCACCCAGTCTATTGGGACCAATAATTATGGGCCACTCAGTCTATTGGGACCAATAATATTGGATTCCGCAGTACACTGGATTCCAACTTTTTAACCTTAATATCACTTACCTTCATAAAAACGTGGGGAAGTATATCCCGATCGGGATTAGGCATGCACCGATTAATAATCGATGTTAGGGTATCCAGCAAAGTCTTTCCAAATCAGTTGTAAAAACGCACTTAGAGCTGTCGAATGTCTCATTTTGTAGAAAAATGTTTGCTCTACCAACGTGAAGTGCAAAAAGACATTTTAGTGTTATCTGCGATAGAAATATAAGCATCAAAAACCGAGCAGAATTGCGAAAAAAGCGACTGTCGCTTATTTTTCTATGATTATAGTGCGTTTTCGATTTATTGTAATACAAGGTTACAATGTTTTTCTGCTATTTCTTGTTTTGATAAGCACAACATTAATGTAAAAGATGAACTGTTTTATTCAAGATTCATCTTGTAACAGGTTCTTTCTCCATCGTTTCATTTTGGTGGTCTCAAACGCGTTTTTTCGAACCGAAAAACTGCTCATGGGAAACTCTTAGCCAATGTTTAGTACAAAGCTAACAAATGGAAGAAAATTGAAAGAGGTAAGATCATTTATCGAAAATGAAAGTTTAGAGATGTCAGCAGAACTCACAAGCACATACAGTATTTTTATATATTCACGCACTCGGTTATATTGCATTCCAAGCTTTTAGTTAGTATTTTTAATTGGTCAATTAGCAGTACGGAGCAGTCTTCTTGTCATCATACAGCTGAGTCCTTATACCAACCAAAGATAATAATATTTATGTAACATATAGAAAAACAAAAATTTCATCAAATGAAGTATTAATCTAGTATAACGTTGCCGAAAAATTTTATCATAATAGTTTAGGGTTTTGTACTAGTGTTTTGTCTGTGTACGTGAGCAAATTTTCATTTCCTTTTGCATTCTATACTTAATTTCAATTAGTCTCGTTTTTTGTTTTTTATTGGTATGATATACTGAAAAGTACTTTCATCTCGCGGTCGCTGAAAGGATGTAAACGCTTTTTGGTCTGATATTGTTCCAGATGTGTTTTTATCGTTATGGACAAATTGACAGTATGTCACGATCATCAAATCTTCCGATTGACTTATCGATGAATTCTGTACTCCAACTGTCTTTTGAGGTTCCTTATTCCTAGACTGAGAGCGCCGTGGTGCAATGGTCGGAAGATGCTGATTATTTTGATTTGTCTTTTGTACCTGTTTTGATGCTACGCCTCGTTGCAAAATGAATAATGTTTCCGAATCAGTATTTTGAACTACTGGTTCGTTATCACTCTGTTTCATGCTTATAACATCTGTATTTGTTGGTCTTTGTTTTTGTCTGAAACGAAAATATTAGTACAGAAGAAGGGGTTACTCATAATGCTATTCTCCGTGTCTCGTAAACGACGGAACATACCCAGTACATAAAGACAAACTCCTGCGTAAGTGGTCAGCTACTAGTGACTCTGCTACATTTACATTCTCAACTAAGTCTCTCAGATACTCAAGCAATTACAAATCGATCAAACAATATATGGTATGGTTACTAAAGAGCTGGCAAATTCCTTTCGTTTACTAAAATCATAATCCAGCTAAAATCCTACCTTTCTGTTGATTTATTAGTATCTGTATTCGATGGTTGGATTTCCAACTGTTCTGTACGGTTTTCTCTTTCTGAGTTATTAGATTCTTTATAACTGTTTATGATTTTATCTAAAATATCGTCTACGTCTGCTTCATCTGATGATGAGCTTTCGACATCCATGTCGTCGTCAGCCCTAATTCCATGGATATACTGATTAGTAAAATATTCAGTCGAACTTACGAGAGCAACTTTAAACAAGTCCTCGTGCGACTGCATTCTAACATTCGACCACGACTTTCCATTTTTTACTTTTTTTACAAAACGGCATGCAAGTGTTGGCCGAGGTTCAATACCAGACAGCTCCGGTCTCTCATCACAATAGATACCAAAACCAGCAGTATACTCTGCGATGATGTTAGTCAATGGTTTTGGGTAGTTTTTATCAACCTTCGTTGTTGTTCTAGTAAACAGAAAGTAGAAAGATTCCAATAACGTGAATCAGAAACAAATATTAACCTGCTCGGCAATGATTGAAGCTTCTCCTGTTGTAATAAATTATCTGGATCAACTATCATTAAAGTAAATAATTGCCGATTATTCAATGTCATAACTACGTAATCATTATTAACAGCCATTGCAGAAATATGATGATGTACATAAAATTTTGCTAACTGTTTATTATCAGCTATCCGATACAGATTTAATATATGCGGCTTTATGACTGTCAACAAATAGTTGCCATCATCGTTCAAACATAAATGTTGGCATTCATCTTCTAACACAATCGTATAGTCTAAGTAAGCGTCTGTTTTAATATCATAAATTTTGACACAAAATTTGTTGGTACAACCCGACGTGGTAGTATACATGGCAATATGATCCTTTTTGCCGTTATAGAGGCTGGCTAATCCAAGTTTACTTAATGTGCAAACTGTTTCATTCACTTTACTGCAGAGAAAAATGAAAAATATATCCTGGTAGCATCGAAGAAAGCTAAGAACCAACTTACACTTTTAATAAAGCCAGCGACTGATCTGCGAGCCATAAGACGAGTTGATCGTTTTGACCATGTACTTTCACAACCAAATCTGTCGATGGAGTTATCGTTAAGTCAATTCTGATATATTTACTCGGACACCAAGCAGCTATTGTTTGACTATCATCGGCTAAAACAACAAAGTATTCCGTAGCTTCGACTGTTAAAAGAGCTCCAAACAACTTTTGACATGATAAGTTTAATTGTATTTCAATTGCACTGAAACTGGTGGCTGGCAAATAGTATGCAAAATCATTTTGACACAGGAGATAAAAAGCATTTTTGGCCGAATACGTTCTGGCAATGTTTGTTCGAAGTTCCATTTGAAATACAGGAGCATCGGACAATTTGTTCAGCAAATAAACTTGTGCATGAGACGCTTCGTTGACAAGAAGAACGTATGACATTGGTTCTAATTCTTCAGTAGTCAATGTAATAATGCTGAAATCGATTAGAAACGAAGATAGCTGATTTTGTGATTTAATCTTACAATCTTCTGCGAAGCCCCAGCTTGTTATTTCTCTAAATATATAGCAAAACGTTTTATCCATTATAACATTTGAAAAATATCAATGTCCTCACGATCCTCTCTCATCAACTGTTACGGCAGTCTGATTGGTCACTAACAAACGTTGAACTATACAGCTTGTTTTTGGTAATGAAGGAAATTCTTTCAAAGCGTGTCTGTAATGTGAAACGTCGTACGCCTGTATTATTCCGTCTTGTGTCGCGCAGAAGAAAAGCGACACTAAAAGAAAGACATTACACTTTTTTCACAGTGTGAGCATTAATGTACTAACCTTTTTCACCAACCGGCCTAATTACTGTTATGGGATTATAGCTTATTTCAATTTTGGCATATAACTCGTATGCATAATATGATATTTTATCGCTGTTTTTGTAGTCTATGCAACAATATCGGTAAACTTCTACAGTACCACCTTTTGTCGTATATATTGCATGTGGATTATTTTCGTGCGCGGCAACTAAATCAAAATGTCCGGGTATTCTGCAATACGTCAGTGATGGTCTTATTCCACATTCGCGAATGACATATAACGATTCTGCTGTTGTTGCCACAAAAAATAAACAATTTGTTGCAGACCAATTACGATGTATGGACTCACGTTGCCAATCTTCGACGATTAGCGTTTCCGGTATTACTTGAGCTGCACTAGAGTATTGTTTCGTCGCAGAATATCTAGCTGGAAAAGTATGTCGATGGATTATGCGCGTTATGGATCCATCAAACGGTATATCAAAGGAAATGAGAACTTTAAACAAAATATCATCTAAATGAGAATAATTAGGAAATTCAGTAAATCGTCTTTTATTCGACCTATTATTTGTTCTTAATTCCATTTTTTCCATTTTTTGTTCAATGAATTCCGTAATGCAAATTTGTCTTAGATCAATTATAGCCAAATCACATCGACGTTCTCGATAGTTAAAGAACTCAAGCTTAGGATTGTCTTTCGATGGATCGTTCTGATATCGAAATGTGCATAGCAAATTGAAGTCTACTAAGCTGATTAAATTTAAGTCTGGACCAACTGTTGTATAACCCAGATTAACTAGGGTATACCTTTGCTCATTTCTCAGATGATACGATGCATAGAAATGAATAGTACCATCAATTAACTTCACAATTACCATTGGTAGTACTAACTCAGTCAAATGTTTCGATATTATTATGTCCTCAAGTTTTGTTGACATTTGAATGCGTTCAACTAATGCGTCGAGCTTATAATTCCAACACTCAAAATAATCACTATCACGTTCACATAACACAATTAGTGGAATTTGCAAGCAATCAACTTTTAACCATCCAGGACCAGCTAGGTCTGTCGTCTGTCTTTCAAAACGAATGTCTTTACGTAACGATGTTAAGCGACAAGTGTGTTTTGAGATTAAAAAAAATTCATAATTTGTTAGATTCTTAACTTCATTTAGTGCTATGTTTAAAGCGCTCATCATCATCCTTACTGAATCTCGATCAACGATTGTAATACAGTCAAGATATGGTTCATCTAAGTGTGAGACTTCAATTTGACTTACATCAGCTGAAACAGAAATATGTTACGTGGAGCTTATGAATTTAAGGCGCAATGCAGGGCACTTGAAGTAGGCAAAACTGATTAAGGAAATCTAGAAACTTAATTTCGAATACAGCACGTTCAACTTTGTATAGGAGTGACTTCACAGATCAGATTATTCATAGGCTTTCCGCTAATCTCCAGGAACAGAAATCGCTAAATTTGTTACCTGTGGATTTAATAACTAATTTGTCTGATAACGATATGTGCGAGATAAAACTCTGACCAGTATATAAAGTTATACCATCATGACTTCTGTTCGCGTGGTGTAATGCTGGAAGAAAATCGAAATAAACAACTGAATTCATGTGATTAATAACGTTGTGCAGCATTCCGAACCCAGGGAGAGCGAGTTGAGAATACGGTGAGATCAATGCACAATGTCGGAGACTTTTTTGATCACACTGTTTGATAAGCTGATCAATGTACTTTGTTTGACTCTGATTGAGCAATGGTAACAGTCGGGCGGTAAGTTCAAATGAAAAATTATCTAGATAGTAAATTGGCGATACACCAATGAGAGACAGTGTCATAAGTAAGATACGAAAGTCGTCTGCTACTTCGCATATTTCATTTTTAAATATATTTCCAATCAACATCTGAAGTTTAACTTCTGTAAAGGGCTTCAATAATTCATATAAATCATGAAATGTTGAAGTGTGCTTAAATTTAGCTCTAAGAAACTCGTAGTCGAAAAATAACTTCTCCCCTTCAGGAAAATACATTGCGTATTCTTTCTGAGCCATTAGCGACAAAAGGTACGTTAGCTCATTCAGTTTACGTTTATTATAACGCACTTGTCCATCAGAATCAATAAATTCTATTGGTTGAGAAGCCGTATGTCGATTAAGTAGAATGTTACCGTTTTGTAGTTGATTACGGTATTTTTCGATTAACTCTTCCTTTACAATCGGCAAAGCTTTCGGCTTCGTCCGCCAATTTTCCACATACATGTCGACAACATTTTGAATTATAATTTTGGTTTCTTCACGCGTCAGACTTTGAACATAGGTCTTTTCAGCAACCCAAATAAACTCCTGATGGTACCTTACTGAGGAAAAAATGAATTAAAATCAAGTTAAAATTTTGATACCTTTGCTGATGTTGCACCAAGCTGAGAGAAAACGCAAAGCTCAGAATGCTTAATTGGCCAACCTCCAAGAATTTGCTTCTGTGGCTGTCTAATAACAATAAAAATGCATGCTAAGTGAGGGCTAAGAATATTTCCTACCAATATGATAGTGGTGTATCATCGATCTCTGTTTCGGTAAGATATTCATCCAACTCATTTCTTATTCTCGTCCAAAGCGTGCCAGGAATGCGCCCAGTCGGTGGTAAGAAAAACTCAAAAACACTCCCAAGAACACTATTATCAAGACTCAATAGATCTTCGAGTTCATTTCCACTAATACCATTATGAGTCATTGTTAAATAACATAAACTATGTGACACTAGTACTGGATTGTATCGACGCTCTAATTGTTTAAAGATGTACAATATACATGCATCCACACCTTTTAATTCAACTGGTAAGCAAGGATCATCATACGAATGCCATTGTATGATTATATCAAATATCAATTTCATGTATAATGGTAGAATTGTATTTTGTTGTTCCATAAATAAACGAATGTATGTTGCTTGTTCGTCACTGAGACAACGTTTTTTCATTTTAAACCAATTTTCATAAATGATTGCTACTTCTACAGAATTCATTGATGAGACTTCTATAAGATTTTCATCATTTTTACCAGCATAACCGATCAATTTTGTAAAAGTTTCTAAAATTTTGTTTTCTCCCCGTTTAATAACTGACACAATACATTTAACGTTTTTAAACGGGATTGATCTAAACGCATGACCTCGAAAGCCGAAGGGTAACCATTCACAATCATGTCCGTCTTTATCTAGTTGATTGATAGCATCAAATAGAAAAATCAAAATTTCGTCCTTCGGTATTTTATGAAGCAGCTCATTCAGTTGTTCATATAGCTGAATTTTTGACTGATAATAATTATATGGAAGGTTATATACTTTTGCGATTTGTTCTGTAATTGACATTAAAAACTTATGGACAGCGGTAGATGTCGGCGTCGTACTATAAAGATGAACAGATCTCATGAGCCATATTCACATCCTGGTGAGGGCGCTATGTGTTGGCCATCAAACGGCTTGAAAGCCGGCCGTACAGAAGATATATATATGCGACTCATGCATAGACCTGTGCGCCGCACCACCGCCGAAAAAACCGAAACGCCGCTCGGCACCGCCGCCGAAGGCGGAAAACATTTTTCATTCTGTTTGTCCGCTGCCGATAAAGGAAACTTTTTCCGTTCTGTCCGCTGCCGGTTCGAAAACACGTGAAAAACGCGCGATTTTTTCGAAATTTTTTCAAATTTCTCGGCACCGAGAAAGAAAGTTACGCCGCCGCCGCCAATCGGACGACCGGCGCACAGGTCTACGCATGCACATGCTTTCTAGACATGCACCAGTTTTTAACTGGTGTTGGGGCATCCGGGAGAATTGCTACAAATCAGTTATCACGATTCTCTCGGAGCTGTAAAACATCTAATTTTGCAGAAAAATGTAGAGCAAACATTTTTCTGCAAAATTAGATGTTTTACAGTTCCGAGAGAATCGTGATAACTGATTTGTAGCAATTCTCCCGGATGCCCCAACACCAGTTAAAAACTGGTGCATGCCTAATGCTTTCCTCTTGTTCTCTCTCTATGGTAGAAAAAGAATTTTTCTCTATCGTCACCGATAGCGCAAGATATATGAGTGAATTGTATATTAATTGTACAATTGGTTGTTTAGTACCGTTTCTGCTATAAATCCGTAGTGGTTTGTCGGATTCCTAAAACTTTTTCAGGCGAGTGAGATACATGCATGAAAAAGCAGAAAAAACGCGTTTTTATCTTGACTAGCATGACTAAAAACGCGAGTTTCACGTCAAAGACAGCTGATAAAGAAAAAGCAGACCAGTGGATTTTGTAGAGCGCAAAATTCCCTACCCATCCATATCATTTACAATTTCGCTTCAGCGCTCTGGCACAGATTGTTTTGGAGAATTAAGTTTTCGGTACAAATTGCAGGGAGACGCCAAAATCAGAATGACGGATTTAGGCAGCACTTAAGCGTAAAATTGATTCCACCATGAGATAGAGCATCAAAAACACTCTGGAAAACACAGTAAAGTATTTTACTAAACGCGTATTAAGTAGTCCAAAAATGACTAAGTCTAGGTTTTCCACTCAGTTTGTAGGGAGAGATTTTGGAACCTGCTTTGCCCATAAGTCAATGAGACTGTATTTAAACTGTTTCAAACTTTCAGAACCAGAAGCAGGTAGGAAGTTGTATGAGTGGTAAAAATTTCAGCACTTAAAGTTGATGTCTTCCTAGTAAACTT